CCTGCTCTTCGTCCTACACTTCCGCCTTATCCTTATCCTCCTCCTCCTCCTTCTCCTCCTCATCACCATCCTGCTCATCATACTCCTCCTCATCCTCTTTCGCATCAGCATCACCATCAGCAGGAACAGAATCGCCATGACCAGTACCAACACCAACACCGTTGTGATCATGGTCACCATTCACGGTTGCAGCTGGCAACGGCAAAGGCATGCCGCCTGCGTTTCCCCTCGGCGTCGTCTGTCCTTGGGGGATTGGCGCGCAGCGCGGCACGGTTGGCCAGAAAGGGAGGAGGAGGAGGAGGACGAGGACGAGGACGAGGTCGAGGAGTGGACGGGAGGAGGAGGAGGAGGAGGAGGAGGAGGAGGAGGAAGCCCTGAAGCCCATGAACGCATACAATTCCATGGTTTACCGTTTGGCGCAAAATGTCGGGTAGGCGCTTAGTGCCTCCCCTGAGGTATCGGCCAGGCGTATGGCGCCCACACCTCGACACTAAGGGGGCCTATGGTGTCCCCCTCCTTGCCGACCCCGTCCCGCACACAAGGACTTCGCCCCCTCCCCATATGGTGGGAGAATGGGTGTTCGGGCCGCCCCACCTGACGCCGCATGTACCGCGTCAGGGGGAGGGAATTCTGAATAAAAAATCAGGTTCCCCTTCCTTCCCTTCCCCGCCCACGCCCACTTACTCCGCACAGATCCAGATAGAAGATCAGCACGCGAGCTGGTCAGGTGCAGCAGGGCCGGGGCCGATTGGTGCCACTCCCTTCGGTGGGGAGCACTATGGTGGCTCCTCCCGCGGTGGGAGCGCTCCGCCCTATGGTGGCTGTCGCTGACCTCCCTCGGCCGAGTCCAGTGGCGACTCCGGTTCTGTGACCGCGGCCGCGCCCTATGGTGGCTGCGGCCCTCGCTGCGTCGCCGAAAATCGTCCCGTCGGCCCGGCATCGCGGCAGCAGGCGGATGCCTACGTCAGTGTCGGAACAGGCCAGCCGCCAGGCAGACTTGTACCCCGCTCTCGCGGGCGCGGAGAGGCGAGAGAACAGAACACAAGGGGCAGGAAAGGAAGGGAGAAGAAGGGAAGGAGGATGAGGAGGACGAGGAGGAGGAGGAAGAAGAGGAGGACGAAGGAGGGGACGGGGGGGGAGGGGAGGGGGAGAGAGAGGGGGAGGGGGAGCGGGAGGGGGAGGAGGAAGGGGAGGGGGAGAGGGGGGGAAGGGGAGGGGGAGGGGGAGGGGGAGGGGAGGGGGAGAAAGAGGATGGGGGGGGAGGAAGGAGACGAAAAGGCACGGAGAGTTAGAGGGAGAATGAAAGAGATCGTGTGCGATGAGGAGGCCCAGGAAGATGGGTCAGTCTGAGCACACCTGGAACGTGTCTCGGGCACAAAGTGAGGAGGAGGACGTGGAGTGAACAGTAGTACCGGGAAGGGAAGGATGATGTTGAAGGAGACGAGGGGGAGGCAAAAAGAGGAGAGCAAGAGGTTGATGGCGATGATGAAGATGATAAGGATGATGATGAAAGAGCACACTGCCTTGCTCTCCGTTATACCTGCTTGCTGGCTGGACAGCTGACAGACCCGATAGTTATGACGAGGAATACGAGCTCGCATAACTACATCGCCCATACTATTCCACCACCGCACGCCACTTCATGGGCCGCTTTCCGACGCCACGCTATGGCCCAAATAAAACCAGGGTAACATGCTAATCGAAGAGCCCCCCCACACCCGCCCACCACAACCGGACCCAACCCCACCCCGCACCCGACCAACCCACTCCCCCCCATCTCCCCGCCCACACCCACTCCCCCCAAACACACACACACACACGACAGCAAAAACGCGGCGCGGTGCAGGGCCCGAATCGCGAATCGTGACCGCGAGCACCGCCTCGTCGCCATCGCCGTCCCCGCTGTCGCCGTGCCCACGGCGATGCCACCCGCATCCGTGCGGGCTCAGCACTGACTCCACGCTGCGGCATCGAGCGTCAGCAGAAGAGCGGAAGAGGATCGCTGCGTCTGAGCTTCGCGACTCTGCGAAGCAAAATCGGTCTGCAGATCAAACGCAGCATGGTGGCCGTGCCCGTCGGTGGAAACGCTGCGGCCGGCAGCGCGCCGGCACCGCAAGCAGTCAGACACTGGGTGCGGGCAGTGCCTCGGCATCCCTGGTTTCGCGCAGGCACCGCGGGCATCGTCCCTCGCGGCCGCAAGCGCAGCACAACATGGGGCGCGCGTGTGGCCCGGGCACGATTGGCGATTATGTTCATGCGGGCGCTGCGGGCGTTGGGCCACGTCCGCGCAGGGGCCTCGGATGGCAAGGCGCAGGCGTGGGCTGGCGCGTCGCAACACGGGGTGCAGGCGTTGCCTGGGCACCGCAGGTTGCGCGCAGGTATCGCAGGCAGTGTGTTTGGTCTGCGCAGGTACTGCGCACGGAAAGGCGCAGGCACCGAAGGCACGTCAAACTATAGGGTGAAGGCATGGCCTGGGCATCCATAGCGTTAGCGCTGGCATCTCACCTGTTCCTGTCGGCGCTATCACGTTTGCCAGTGTGGACCGCCAATGTGTCAGTCAGCGTAGACCCCTAACAGCGAGGTCTTGCAATCTACACGGCGCAGCCCAGTGGTGCAATCAATGTGGTGCAATCTGGGCGATACAGAGCAACGCAAAGCGATGCAAGGACATACAAGACGTTACAAAGCAATACGAGTCAAGGCAACGCAAAGCACTTCAACGCAATGCAAAGCAATGCAACGCAAAGCAGAACAATGCAAAGCAACGCAAAGCACTGCAAAGCAATGCAAAGCAGTGTGCGTCAATGCAAAGCAACGCAAAGCAATACAAAGCAATACAAAGCAACGCACAGCCATACAGAAAAATGTCAATCCATGCACAGCCATGTGGCGAGGTGTATAGCAATACACGGCAACGCAAAGCAATGCCAAGTGATGCAAAGCAAGGCAGAGCAATGCACAGCAATGCAAAGCAATACAAAGCAGCAAAGCAATGCAAAGCAAAGCAAAACCATGCAAAGCAATGCCAAATAATGCAACTCAACGCAAAGCAATGCAAAGCAACGCAAAGCCATGCAATGCAATGCCACGCGATGTAGAGCGATGCACAACAATACTAAGTATTGGAGAGTAACGCAGAGCAATGCAAAGCAATGCACAGCAACAGAAAGCAGCGTGACGAAACGAAAAGGAACGCAGCGCGATGTAACGCGATGCAAAGCAATACAAAGTAACGCAAAACAGTGCAACGCGATTCAAAGCAAAGCAAAGCAATACAAGGCGAAACAACGCGAGGCAATGCACAGCAAAGCAAAACAATGCAAAGCAATGAATTGCAATGCAAAGCAAGGCTTTGCAACGTAAAGCAATGCAGAGCAATGCAAAACAAGGCAAACCAAGGCAAATCAACGCAAAGCAATGCAAAGCGACGCCAAGCAGCGCAGCACAATGCAAAGCAATGCAGGGCAATGCAATGCAGAGCAAAGCAAAGCAATGCAAAGCAGTGCAATGCGATGCAGAGGAGGAATGCAGAGCAATGCCAATCAACGCAGAGCAATTCAAAACGAAGGCAATGCAAAGCAATGCAACATAACGCAGCGCAATACAATGCAATGAAACGCGATGCAAAGCAACGCAAAGCAATGCAGAGCGATTGCAACACAGTGAGATGATAGCGCAGAGCGCTGCAATGGAATGTGATTGTCATGCAGCGCAGCTGCGACGCAGTGCAATGCGATTGCAATGTAGTGCGGATGCAGTGCAACGGGCGGCAACGGACGGCGGCGACGACAACAAGCGCGGCGACCGACACCCAAGCGCAGAAGCAGCGGCGACTGACGGCGGCGATGGGCGGCGACGGCGACAACACTCAGGCCCAGCTCCTGTTAGACCGAGTCGGAGCCCCTGAATGCAGAAGTACATAATGCGATGCCAAGCACGGGGAAGCAACGCACGCCAATGCCAAGCCACGCAAAGCAACGCAAAACAATGCAAACCGATTTCAAGCAATGCAAAGCAATGCAAAGCAAAGCAATGCAATGTGATGCGAAACAGTGCCAGGCAAAGCCAAGCGACGCAAAGCAATGCAAAGCAAAGCAAAGCAATGTCAATGTCAAGCAATGCCAAGAAACCCACTTCAATGAAGAGCAGTCCAAAGCAAAAGGAAGAAATGCAAAGCCATGTAACGCAACGCAAAGCAATATAACGCGATGCAAAGTAATGTAAAGCAAGGCAAAAGAAGGCAAAATAAGACAAACCGACGCAAAGGAATGCAAATCAGTGCGGGGCAAAGCAAAGCAAGGAAAAGCAATGCAAAGCAATTTGATGCGATGCAAAGCAAGGAAACGCAATGCAAAACAAGGCAGAGCAATGCAAAGCTAAAGCAACGCAGAGCAGTGCAAAGCAATGCAAAGCAATGCAAAGCAATGCAAAGCAATGCAAAGCAGAGCAGAGAGATTGCAATGCAGTACGATTGCAGCGCAATGCCACGCAGTGCAACTACAACGGCATGCGATTGCAATGCAACGCAACGCGAGTGCAACGCAATACGGTTGCCGTGCAACGGGCCGCGACGGACGGCGGCGACGGGCGGCGAGGGACGACAACCAGCGCGGCGACCGACACCCAAGCGCAGAAGCAGCTGCGATGGACGGCGGCGACGGGCGGCGACAGCGACAGGAAGCCCGCCGGACCGACGACACTGCCTCAGACGGGGCGGCGCCGCCCTGCCTCAGAAACCCGCGCGCGCCTCGCAAACAGAAGCACGTGGCGTCATCATCGACGCCGTCCAGGTCGAACCGAATCGAACCGAAGCGGAGGAATCGGCACGAGCCCTGGAAGGGGGGAGGAAGCAGCAGCAGCAGCAGCAGCAGGAGGAGACGGCCGTCGAGAGGCGGGCATCCTCCATCCTCCGAGGCCGCGGGACGGCGCACTGGCACGCCGCGGCGGAGGGGGGCGGGCGCGGCCGCGGCCTCGTGTCGGTTCCTCCGCTGCTCTTCTGGCTCCCTGCACGTGCGCGGCGGGGGATTCCCATCCGCGGCCCAGAGGTTTGAGGCGAGGTGAGAACACGCCTGCAAGGTGAGGAGGAGGAGGAGGAGGAGGAGGAGGGAGGAGGAGGAGGAGGGAGGAGGAGGAGGAGGGGGAGGGGAGGAGGAGGAGGAGGAGGAGGAGGAGGAGGAGGGAGGAGGAGAGGAGGAGGAGGAGGAGGAGAAGGAGGAGGAGGAGGAGGAGGAGGAGGAGGAGGAGGAGGAGGAGGAGGAGGAGGAGGAGGGGGGCCGCGTGGCTTGGGACCGACGGCGACCCTCGCAAGCACAGAGCGCCTGCCGTGCCTGCCTCGCCGCTCGGGCGACGTCACAAACGTATTGCCTCGGGGACGGACAGGACAACACGGCCCAAGAGGCCTCCAAGATGCCCAAGATGGCCTCCAAGACGGCCCCGGAGCACTCCAAGAGGGCCCCAAATCGGCCCAGAGAGGCCCCCAAGACGGCTTCCGAGGGCGTCAGACGGGCCAGGAACGCCCGAGGGAGTCCCCGAGAGGCCCCTAAAAGCTCCCAAGAGGCCCAAGGAGGCCCCCAAGATGCCTCCAATAGGCTCCCAGGAAGCTCCCATGAGGCCTTCAGTAAAACGTGGTGTAGTGGAAACGACCTCGGGCCCAAACCTGGCGGGCGCAAGCCTGGAAAATGACGGCCGCGGCGTCCTCTCGAGGACCGAAAACGGACAATTCACTGATCGACGTGTCAGGGTGGGGGTTTTGTCCACCCCCGATTGTCCCACCCCCTCGCAAATACACCGCCTCCATTCACCCATCGCGCAGCAGCTCGAAATAATGGTCGCGCAAACGTTTCCGCAAGAGATGGGGCGGGAGCTGCCCAGCTGTCCCCCACAGCATCCAGTTCATGGCCCAGCGCATCCAAATACTGCGAGCTGGATTTCAGGCTGAAAGCAAGATGTCGCAAAACACGGCTTCATCAACGCGGTCCTCGGATCGTGCACGGCGCCAAGTTAGGTTTCAACTGCGCCATTCCGTTACTACTCAATTTGGGTTCAGACAACTGCTCCTTACCTTCGCGCGCACTCTCCAAATCACTAGTAACCTGGCTGTTGTCGCCAAGCAGTGCACGACCAAATCCGGCGCCATTGAATTTGCGGGTGTCACCTCCATCAATCCGGGTTGAGAGCGGACTCCAGCGCTGAAGCCAGCTCGAGCCAGACAGCTTGAGCCAACAAGATGGCGATGATGGTGGTTGTGATGAGATTGTCCGTTCCTGGCGATGTCGCAAGGAACGCAAACAACCACAGCCAAAGGGGGTGGGCTCCAGCCAGCGCAGAACATGCTACTGCCCCTGTTCCTGTTGCCTTTCCTGCTCCTGCTCCTGTCTCTCGTGTTGCTGCTCCTGCTTCCCCGCCCTTTCCAGTCCGCCTCCTCCTTCTCCCGCTTCTCCTCCTTCTCCGACAACGACAACGACGACGACGCTTCGAGTAGGGGATCGACAACATAATGAATTTACCCCACGGCTGCTTTCCCGTTGACTCGATACCCAGATAGCTCCGTAGGTCTACGGAGCATCCTACGCATTGGTCGTAGACTCGACGGGGAAATCCATGTCGGGGTAAGTCCACTCTGCAGTCGGTCCCCTGCTCGAGCCGTGGCGGCGGAGGCGGCGGGGGCGGAGTCCGCACGCCGCGCTGGCGCAGCTCGTCGAGCGCCGAGAAGGACAGCAGCGGCGAGGGCAGGCAGTCCAGGTACAGCTTCAGGACGCACCTGCCAGGGGAGGGACCAGGAGGAGGGGCGGAGGGAAGAGGAGGGAGGAGAAGAGCGCCTTGTTCTATTCGCGGCCATAACTAAACAAGCGCATTCCCCTGCTCGCAGAGCAGTTACTCGCAAACGGTCTGGATCCGCCGCGGGGGATTTACGATCCATTACATAGAAAGGAAAACATGTGTTTTTTCCGGACGTTTGCGATAAGGCACTTTGCGAGTCGTGGAACGCGTTCGGTGAATAACGGGCGCTATGGAGGGGGGAGGGGGGACGGAAGGGGACATAACTCAGCGCCCCCCCCCAAACTGTGGTGCCCGACGCAATGCGGCAGTGCCGGGGACGCACTGATGGCGGAAGCGTTACGGCATGCGGGGGAGGGGGGAGGGCAAGGGGCATAACGCGCATTATGGCCCAGAGGGTATTAAAAGAAACACTCCAAGGAGCAGGGAGAAGAAGGAAAAAGAGACAGAGGACCAAAATGATGGCCGGTTCCGGGAACCCTGAAGCCAGAATCGTTTCCACCTCTTGGGGGCGCATCTTTTACCTCCGCCGCCTTCCGCCAGCCTTCCGCCAGCCTTCCGCCGGCGGAGGCGGCCTCGTTTTGCTTCCTTTTTTTTCACAGCACTGCGCCAAACTACCTTCAGGACGGACGCTTCGTGAGGGGCCGGAAAAAATCTACCGAAATCGGCGCATCTAAAATCCTGTATTTTAGACGATGAGGGCCCGAGCCGGAAGCTACGCAAGGGGGCTCCTTAGTTCCACCCCTGCGCGCCCTCGCCTCTGCGGAGGCGGCACTGCAGAAGAGGCGCCCCGAGCCCCCTCTGGGGTGGGGCGGCCATCAGCAAGGCCGAGATCAGCAACTAGCACGCACAAATTGAAGACGCCCGCGCTTGCGGGGGGAGAGGGGGGACAAGGACGGGGCAGGCTGGAGGCGCACCCTCCCAGGGCAGCAGGCCCCGAGAGGTCATTGCGAACGGTCTGTGTCTTTCCCTACCATCACAGGTACGTAGCGGAAGATGCCGTGAGCCAGCTCTCTCCCGAGGCGCACAACTTGTTGCAATGTAAAGCCTACTCAACATCCTGAGCTCATCCGAGAACGGGGAAGAATAGTTCTTCCGCCGCCTTCCGCCGGCCTTCCGCCGGGGAAGAGATCGCAATTCCTTCGATCCTCGGAAACGAGGCCCTTCTTGGAACGCTCCGTGTACAGGGCAATTTGAATACATACGATTTTCGAAAATATAGGATTTTAATACATGATTAATTCATGAATAAATGTATGCATAAACTCACCGTTGTTTTTAATACTAAATCCCTTCATTTTGAATACATGATTCGCACGCGGAGCATGTATTAAAAACGGTACTGTAGTAACGATGCCGCGAGGCACCCTCCCGCCCCGAGCCCCCTCCCCGGTAACCCCTGCAAATTTCGTCGCTCGCTGCTCGACGCGCCTCCCTGGGAAGACGAAGGCCCCACGCGATCGGAGCTACCCGCCTTGACAGGGACAGCCCCCCTTGCCGTCGTTCGGGCGTCCGTTCCCCGCGCCTTTTTGCGGCCTCGATGGCGCCTGTTCTTCGCAAGACGATCCAGGGTGTTCCTCGCGGGTCTTCGCCGGAGGGGGGAAGAGAAGAAAAAAAACACACAAAAAAAAAAAAAAAAAAAAAAAAAAAAAAAAAAAAAAAAAAAAAAAAAAAAAAAAAAAAAAAAAAAAAAAAAAAAAAAACGTCCGAGCGATGCCGAGCCCCTGCAGCCGTCGAGGCTGCAGGATGGGACGCACACAGGATGGCACGCACAAGGACATACGAGTACGAACTGTTATCCTTGGAGGCGTGCGTCCGACCCGAACATCAGAGCGAAGGGCCGAACAGTCAATCACTGTCCCTGGGCGCGTGGCTGAAGTGAGGTTCCGCGGTGCGGATTAAATTCTGACTTCTGAAGAATAAGTACTGTTGGTCCCCCCCTTCTGGAGCACATTGTACTTTTTGAATGAAAATATTTCTCCCAGGGCTCGCACCCTATTTTGAATAAGGAAAGGCGAAGGGTCACCACACTATGCCCTTGGCTCCCAAATTACAACAACAACAACAACAACAACAACAACAACAACAATTACTAGCACGTGGGGACACTCCGTTCTCACCACTGCCAGGGTTTTCATAGGAGGCGGGCAATACCCCCACTTTGTGGGGGGGCCGGTTCAAGCTCTACCAAATTTCCAAACGACTCTTCGCCACCACCCACACCCAGCTTCCCGCCCTATGACGTTCGGACACTTCACTTCGTGGCATGCGGACGACCGTGGCTACTATTCAGGGCCCCGCGGCCGACGACGACGGCGTGCGCGCGCGAAGAAAAAACGAATGTGTCCCGCATGGTATTATTTGACAGGGATGATGGCCCTGGCAGGTGCGCAACCGTTGTTGCAGAAGTTCGAAAAAGTTGCTCGCAAAAGCCCGTTTGACAGAAATGTTTAAAAAGTGTTGGGTTTCCTACGAATCCGCAAGAGCGCGCGGGATGAGATTTTGACATTTTTTTGTTGAAAAACCATTGGTTTTTTGATGTTTTTATGTTAAAATCGCTCCGAACACTAAGGTTTTGGAAGGATTTCGTCTTGCGCGCGCGAATGTCCACTTTACCTTATTTTTTGCAAGGGATTCTTGAAGTTTGGTTATGTTAGAACAAGAAATATCCACTTTAGCTTATTTTTTGCAAGGGAAAGCGGGCCGTAACAAAACAACCGGATCCGGACCAACCCGTTTTGCCTGAGACTTCCTCACGAAAATGATGAAAATGTGGCTGCGGCCTAGGCGCGGCGGGGGGGTCGTGCACCAGGGGTCCCAACAATAATTATTCTTTAGAAGTAATAATGTTCAACAACAACAACAACAACAACAACAACAACAACAACAACAACAACAATCACTTTACCCGAACGCTCAGTGTTCTCACCAGTGCCAGGGTTTTCATGCGACGCCAGCCAATACCCCCACTTTGTGGGGGGGCAGTGCAAGCTCTACCAAATATCCACACGACTCTTCGCCACCACCCACACCCAGCTTCCCGCCCTATGACGTTCGGACACTTCACTTCGTGGCCTGCGGACGACCGTGGCTACTACACTGGCGTGGAGTACACACCCACAGAAGTTGTTAAGCCTAGGTGGCGGATGGCAGAACCGTGCTGCTCCTCCAGCTCCTGGGCGCTAGAAGTACTAACCTTGCCAGGCACAACCCGATACTTGCCCCACCAAGTCTTGCACGCCTGGTGACTGACCTGGATACCCTTTGCAACGAGCGCCTGATGCAAATAATACGGGCTCTCGCAGTCGGCCAAGGGAGGCCGCGACAGCTCCGGGCCATACTGCTCGTCAAGGGCTTTCGCCGTCAAAGCCATGGACCATCCAAGAACACAGGCGATACCTTGATCCGAGATGGCTACGGATGTGCCAGTGATCAGTCGGAGGCTTCCTGGGGCCGCTTGGGGTCCTCTTGGGGAAGGGGGGAAGCCTCCTGGCGCCGCTTGGGGTCCTCTTGAGGGGCTTTGGGGGGCTTCTGGGAAGCATCTTGGGGCCTCTTGGGGGCTTATTGGGTCCTCACGGCGGGCTCTTGGGGCCTCTTGAAGGCCTCCTGGGGCAACCTATGGCGCAACCAGTAGGGGGACGTTTTATTCTCGGCGGCCGAGGGCGCAACCTATGGCGCAACCAATAGGGGGACGTTTTATTTTCGGCGGCCGAGGGCGCAACCTATGGCGCAACCGCAAGGGATTGTGGCCCCTGGCAGGCGCGCGAACCCCGTTGCAAGAGCGTGCGAAAGTAGCTCGCGCGAGCTCATGTAACATAAATGTAGGAAAACCATTGGTTTTTTTAGGATTCGGACAGCGCGCGCGGGTAGAAATTTTGAAAAGTCGTGCAGGTGTTTTTCGAGGACCTACGGTGCGATTCGTGTGATTTTATGATGCGCGGTGCTAAAATTCTTAAGAAGCCCAATGGTTTTTGGAGATTTCGGCGTGCGCGCGCGAAGAAAAACGAATGTGTCCCGCATGGTATTATTTGACAGGGATGATGGCCCTGGCAGGTGCGCAACCGTTGTCGCAGAAGTTCGAAAAAGTTGCTCGCAAAAGCCCGTTTGACAGAAAGGTTTAAAAAGTGTTGGGTTTCCTACGAATCCGCAAGAGCGCGCGGGATGAGATTTTGACAATTTTTTGTTGAAAAAACCATTGGTTTTTTGATGTTTTTATGTTAAAATCGCTTCGAACACTAAGGTTTTGGAAGGATTTCGTCTTGCGCGCGCGAATGTCCACTTTACCTTATTTTTTGCAAGGGGTTCTTGAAATTTGATTATATTAGAACAAGAAATGTAATTTTCTATTGTTTTTTTGCAAGGGGAAGCGGATTACAACAAAACAGCCGGATCCTGTACACACCCTCTTTTCTGAGGCTTCCTCACGAAACTGATGAAAATGTAGCTGCGGCCTAGGCGGCGCAGGGGGGGCGCGCACCAGGGGGCCCAACAATAATTATTCTTTAGAATAAATAATGTTCAACAACGGGTCCCGCCCGATATTTCCTCATTATGGATTCCTAAATCGCGCTCTCGCGCGGGAAGTCCTCACAGTGTACGCAGGAATCGCGCTCTCGCCCCGGACTTCCTCGCAATGTATTCAGACGCCGCGCCCTCGACACTCAGGAATGACTCTTTCGTTGGGGATCTTCCGCACGATTTACTTGGGAGTCGCGTTATGGCCCGAAACATCCTGGCGATTTATGCAGGACGCACGATTCAGCAACGCGCCTGCTCGACCTGGCCGCCTGGGCCTTTTTCCCGAGCCGCCCACTACGGTCTGCCCGCCCGATCTGCCCGTCAGGTTCTGCCACGCGCTTTGTGCTCCGAACCTTATGCTATCCCTTCCTCTCGTGTTCCATCCATCCTCCTCTCTCCCCTTTGTCCCTTCCTTCCATCCGTCCTCTTTACCCCTGCCTTACGGGCTGGACGAAGTACACGTCGC